GGCCTAAGCGGATTCCGATCTCAGACTCGAACTCGAGACCATGCGTGTGTGGTCGCACGCTACATGCCGCTACACCACCTCCATCCATTGCAATAAAGTTTTATATAAATACAGGAAAAATCTAGATTCATGAGAGGAACTTTGATTCACATGCCGTATTCGATTCTTCCAAACTGCTTGATCTTAGTTATTGTGCCTTGCTGGTGATATCGCACGTAGACCACAACACGGCTCGCCCTGTAGCTTTACCTCAAACTTGGATGATTAAACCAAAATACGTAACTTGCATTACAAATTGAGAACAAATAACAAGATTAACAAGGCAAAAAAGGAGAGATCCCGCGTCGGAAGTGACCGATTGATTGACGACATGGATTGGCGGGCTTATATACCCGGGACCAAAGCTCACGATCGATTGCGCGCGCGATTCGAAGATGCCCGGACTCTCTCTACGAAAAGGCATGGTCGTCACGTGATCATTAAGAACTAACCGAATAGGTAATTACAACATAAATTCAACAACAGAAAAAAGTTCTTCAAACCTGACCAGAATCATGGTCATTTATTCGTGAGTCGCGACATATATATCAAAATCCTGCGAGACCTTTATTTTTGAAGATTACTTAATAGGATAACTGAATAACATTATAATGCTACCAACTGAACTGGTAGTGTTTCTGGAATGATGAGACACGGTCACATACGATTCCTAGCTTTCTTCCCAGCGAACTGACTGGAAGATCAGTCTTATCATCGAACGTATCATTGAAAAGCAATTTCATTTTAATCGAAGAGCGTTGAAAGGATCACACTCAAGTCTGATCGATTTATTCGCGAGTTTCTTAAAGGATCAGTGGATCAGTTATCAGTGCAAAATGTTACATAGTGAGTTGCCAAAGTTGTTCACACAATAAAAATCAAAAGCAACATGAAAACAAACTGGAACTCCGAACACAGGGGAAAGCATGTTGGGCATTATCAGCAATTATAAGGATCAATATAAGACAATTATTACAAATTACTACACATTACAATTAATATTAGATTGCGCATAAGATTTCGATTTCTCATAAAATTCTAATATTCTAGTGTCTTCCAACGCCTTCGCTGCAATTTAGAACAAACAAACTGGACAGAACATAAGCTGAAAGACTGAGGATCTGTGAAATAGATTTTTCCTAGCCCCTCGAAGGCAGAACAAACTCCGATGACCATCATATCTTCTGGACTGTACAAGTGGACTTGTGGATGCATAGTTTGCGATCCAGGGTGAAACCAGTTGTCCAGGTAATGAGCAGTGGCAGCACAGTATACCACAGTGGTGAGCGTTATTATGTATTTTATTGCGGCAAACCAATTGAACTGACCTCCTGAATTGCGAAAAAATAAAGGAATTGCTTAGGCATGTACAAGTATAAGGAGCTTGGATCAAGTTCACTCTCAATCACGCTTAGAATTTCCTGATCATCCGGCTACACAAAAAGACAGTCAGAACAAATTCTACTTCAAGAACTTGGAAATTTCTTTCGTGAAACAGAAGAGTTTGTACTTTTCCATGGCGATTTCAACTGAAACCTCAATGGCTTTCAAATTAGAGGGATTCAGCTTTGACTATACTATACTACAGGTTCGTGATGTCTTCAGCGCAGATCGACAACAACTTTTTTAATATCAGAATCGTTAACTGAAGGGTGCAGGATGGAGCCGTTGAAAGAGTAAAGGGATAAAGGCCTGGGGCGTTAATCGATCCCGTCTGAGGAATGCGCCCATGCATCCGACTTCCATTCAGAATCGTAATAGCGTAATGAATGCGTATGTGGCCTATGCGATAGCTTGTGGTGGCCAGCCGATGTACAGATCACTGCTTTTATCCTTCCAGATCGGTTTGGACTAGAACCCGTGGCCGTGGTGCGCCCCTTGCCACGATACCACTCCACCCTGGCGTGCAGTGGCAAGTGGCATACATCATGGAGTCGCTGATGCTGTATAATTCATCACACTTTGTAGCAAACATTGCAAAGCCGCTTCATAAATCATTATCTTTAATGGCACAATCCACGATAATTTTGGGGTACCTAGTTCTAGACGAATAATGGACATGATGGTGATGATGATAATTTAATAATAGTGCAAAAGTGGGGGAAGAGTACACGATAGTCGGCGCTGAGAGGAACCTAAGGCTTTAAAAGAAGTAGTAAAATCAGTTAAAGGACAAGAATGTGACGACAAAACTTGCATAGAAAGAGTATTTGAACGAGCTTTCCGAATGTGTTTGTCATCGCGTACGTGTGCGTTACGGTTCGGATCCCACGAATCATTTTCATCGTGAACTGTGTCTTCAACTCAATGCGCGTTAGAGAGGCCTGTTTCGATTTGAAGCTTCGGAAAAAAATGAAAGCTCGCTTGCAGTAACCTTCGAATGAAATCAGCGACCATTTCGTTCGAGATCTTCCACCAGTTATTTCAACCTTACAAATGAAGAAGGACCACCGACAATGTCTGTTGCCATGGATGATGTTGGTCATAATCGAAACATCAGAGAGCAGACAAATTTCATTTTCTCAGGCTGTGTGAAATGGGACCTCCATGCGTCTGGATGAGTCATCCTACGAGCTTGATCTTGGGCTGTTCCGGGATCACCATCCACTTCGGCGAACTTGCAGTTATACAAAGAAATCTACTGATTACAAAGACTGCCGCGGCACTGAAAAACACTTGTGACAATTGGTCTCAGGAAAAATCGCAGGAAAAATCTTATGGAGCCAGAGTCCTAAGGCCACGTGTTTTTCAGAGCTTGTTCGACAAGTGGATGTGGGAAGTCTCCAGGCTTTCGAACTGCTTTCTCCTCCTTTCTAAGCTGCTTAGAGCTCCTAAATTTGTCGAGTACATATCTTATGATTCTTTCTTCGGTCTATTTCGAATTGAGTAAACTTTCCAACCTGCGCTGCAGTTGATTCTCGGCATTCTGAATCAAAAGGTTTTTGCGAGAGCAGTTTGATATCTCAGATGCGAGCCCCCTTCTTGTCCAAGATCGTTTTACCGCCATCGTATAAAATATTGAATCTCGTCTCACGAGAATTATGATTTATGGACAAAACTCCAGTCTAGTACGGGACTCGAACCCGCACTTGTCCTTTCCGTCCTCTAAGTTTTGTCCATAACGCCATCCTTACGATATTTTCGCATCGCGTACTGCGGCGATATAACAGCCGTTAACAAAAAATCAAGTCAAATGAATCTTGTGTTCTTTAAGAGAGCTAGTGACCGTAAGCAGCATGATCTAGCCTAGAAAAACACATTAGACTAACACAGACATATAAGGCTTGCCCATATTCAATGCTTAGGCCCTCTGGATTCGAGGACTCCTTTGCTTACTAACTCTTTTACCCGAGCCTCTGAATATGAGGAAGAGAGACTCATGCGATCTCGCTTACCTACAGATAGAGTCGATAGGGTGAAAAAGGGAGAAAGATTAAAAAAAAAGCAGGAAGAGATTGTTCGTTTGTACTGGTTGGATTTCCTGAAATGCGTTCTGGCTCCTCCAGATCTTCTGGGACTACTGTGAAATTGGCTCGGAAACTTCATATCTGTGCACTGGTAAAACAACTTAACTAGCCTGTCGCCTTTGGGATACATCGGGTATTTTATTTCTGCTACATGCCGAGGAACTCTTTCGAATTTTGTTCTCGAGTCGTTAATTCCATGACATGCTCACAAGTGCAGACCCAAATCTAACAAAAAAAAACTCAAAACTGACGGAATAATTTTTTGGAACTCAGAAGAGATGGCCGAATAGAAATGAGATCACACCATGACAACATGCACACCAGAATTCTGGCAAAAGGTTAATGTGAAACAGCTTCTTGCCTTACTAAGTGATACATAAACGCTTTGATCGAAATTTAGAAATGAAGAAGTTTCGATTTCATATTATATGACGCATGTTGAGTTATGTTTTTGTTGCCTCCCACCT